TGGCCCATCAGAAATTCATCACTTTTTTCAGAATGAAGCACCCTATTGTGCGTGCTTTGTTTTCACCTAGTTGTGGTCAGCAGCAGTGCGGTGCTGTTCAGATAAATCCCTAGAGAAATCACATTCCATGAGTGTTTTTCCGAGAGGAAAATTGGTTTCGATAAGTACTGACTAGGATTTATAAAGCAAGACCCACTTATTAATGGAACAACATCATTTGGGTCTATTTCGGATTTGAAACGGATTTGAAAAAGGAATTCTCGAACTTTTACCTTAATACGACCCATCAAGCGGTGAACAACAGATTTTCATCTGAGCTGCCGTTTTGATGATTGTACTCCTACCTTTAGTTTGATCTTTATAATTACCCAGTAGTTGTCAATAAGCCCGAACTGGGGACAATTGGGCGGATTGAGAGTGTTCGGAGCAAACTGGACTCCGTTGTCATTGTACGATTGTTGTACTTCACGGCTGCAATGACAACTCGCAAGATCCGGCCAAAATGTCACCGGACCATCATGTGACTGGATGAAGGGCAGAATTCGCTTCTGGAGACATTCATTTTTGTGAACTCGGAGGTCATCATTTTCTCAGTGAAGAAAATCTTTTCTCTTCTGGCCGCAGCTACAAACTCCCTGCCAGATCATATATTTGCGTGCGAATTTATCCGCTGAAACAAATTTGAATCTGCCAGGGACACCTCATCCAGCATTCGCCTTGTAAAATTTTGGTCCTGGAAGCTGATCGCCGACTTAGGTTTCATCATCCATAAGTATGCACCCACCGCGGACTTAGTCCGCAGGTTGTCATAAAGCTTTCGAGCACGGGTTCTAGCTACGGTATTCTGCTTGAGTGGTCGATTTGGTTGCCTACTGCCCGAGCAGGAAAAAATCTTAATTAATTATTATTAATACCAAATTCAGGTATGAAAATAGCATAACTGGCAACCTAAATATGGTAATAGTGAGGCTGACATAAGACGTAAAAAACCAAAAATAATACCTCAAAAATATTCTACGAATAACGGACTAATAAATAATTTTGTTATTACAATAACAAACGGATAACAGACGCTTTTTTAGATGCCAGAAAACCATAGTTTGTTATTTTGAAGGTCTTCTAATACCAATTCAATAACTCTTTTATGTATTATTGTCAAAAAACTGAAAGATCACATTGCGTTATTTTGGTATTCATTTGATATTTAACAAAATATTTCGATTACTGAAAAATGTCAAAACAAGGTTTTATACCACAAGCATACCAAAATATGGTATCATATCACATTAAGATATTCATTTGTTATCGATTAGCTATCGGTTCCTGCTCGCATGGCACGGTATGCCTGTCTTAGTGGTAGTGAATTCGCTGCACTTACTACGGACGGTATCATAGTTTTTACTCAAATCGCGATCGGACATACCTGGGTTGCTTCTGATGTACCTAGCGACCTTTCCATGGAGCTTGAACGTTTACTTGGCGGCTTTCGATTCGTCGTCAAGGATTCTCTGTACGTTTCGAGCACGCGCCATCAGGCATGGTAAATCATTTGTATTCATATCGTGCATTTATTTACATTCATTTGCCTCAAACTTTTTTCTTCGACAGCATTCCACAAAATAATGTATAGAGCTTTTGTAGGTTTTGTTATTAGCTACAACTTTCAAGTCAAATCCATATCTCTTATGCATGACGAACCAGAGCGAACAGAAGCCACTACTGTTTTTCAGTGAATGTATTTTACATTCACTGAAAAACAGTAACAAGTTTTTTTTTTTAATAATTCGTTTATTTTTCCAGGCTTATTTGCGGTAGCTTTGCGGAGCCGATATTCATTGTTTAGACAACAAAATTACTTAAAACTAACGTTAGTAAAGCGGGGGCCGATTACTCGCGGCTATCTCGAGGTTAGGGGTAACAAATTGTAACAAATGGATGGCAGGGTAGGGATTGTGAACACAAGGTTTGGAGAGCAATGTGCTCTTGACCTCGAACTAGGCGACACTCTGATGAAAAAGACAAACATGGGGGTACACCGATGGGCAGCTAACAACTTGGGAGAACACAAGATGACACTAACTACTAAATCCTCAAATCTATCCGTTTTAAAAACACATAAATTAAATTCAAATAGTCGAGGTCTCGGCTCGCCAAGACATCTCTAACGGGTATCGCGGGTTGTTTTCCTCGGGCCCTGAGGGATGTGGATAACTAAGATCTGGCAACACGGTGTAAGGTACATGACCAAACAACATGCTCGATATCGTGATAACCACTGCCACACGCACATAAATTGCTGACTGAGAGCCCAATTCGATAGAAATGCGAGTCTAACGAGCAGTGATTGGACATAAGCCTTGATATAACGCGTATAAAGTCGCGGCTCATGTCCAACCCTTTGAACCATGGTTTGTTCGACACCTGTGGGAGAATAGAATGAAACCATCTTCCCAATTCACCATCATTCCATTTTTGTTGCCAACTGATGAGGACTTGCTGACGAGCAATGGAGAAAAATTCGTTGAAGGCGGTTTGTCGCTCAAAAATATCGCCTTCCATAGCGCCCACCTTAGCCAATGAGTCCGCTTTCTCATTACCCGGAATTGAGCAATGAGATGGGACCCAAGCTAAGGTGATAGTATATGAGCAGTTAGCTAAAGCACTCAGTTTAGATCGTATTTCAGGCAGGAAATACAAGGAGTGCTTCATCGGCCTTATTGAACGAATAGCCTCCAATGAGCTAAGACTATCCGTAAAAATGAAATAATGGTCAGAAGGTAGTGAGGCAATTCGCTCTACTGCGTAAAATATAGCTGCGAGTTCCGCAACGTATACTGAGCATGGTTTCTGCAGTTTATAAGAGGCGCTATGAAATTGATTAAATACACCAAATCCAGGGAAGCATTTATGGTTGACCCATCTGTGAAAAATCTTTTATCGTTACTTACATGGTGGTACTTGATTGCAAAAATTGAGGGAACAACCATCGGCCGATGGTGATCTGGTATTCCATGGACTTCTTGCACCATGGTCAGATCAAAATTTACAGAGGAACTATAGAAGGCTTGAAAGCAATCACGATTGGAGATTAATAAAGAAGGACCAACCTCCAACGTCATGTACTCACAGTACAAACTCATGAATCTTGAGAGAGAGAAGGATTAGTATTTTCCATTTAATTCCACTACTTTATTTGCTTATCCTTGACAGATACGCGTATTTCGTCTATAATGTGCAGACTTCTTCAGTGTCTTGTACTAATACTCATTATACAGGTATTCCACTAAGACGCCCACATTCATCAGGATTCATGAATCTTGTTTGAGGATTTCGGTCGAGCAGCTTCTCAAAGTGTTCTATTACCAAAGGATTCATTACTTACGGATGAGAAACTGGAAAGACAGCTCAGCGAAACGATCTGTCAGTGGGAGAACACCCGCAAGTACTTCGAGGCTCATCGTATGAGTGGAGTGCATACAGCCTAGAGCAATACGAAGGCAACGGTATTGAATCCGTTGCAGCTTAAGAATGTGTGTTTTTGCTGCGGGAAGCAAAAGCTGCCGTACTCTAAAACCGAAAGGATGGTTGTTCGGTACAACCTAATCAGAACTTCACAGTAACAAGTTCTGCCCGCTCTAGTTCGTGATGCATAAGAGATACAGATTTGATACAGATACAGATTTTTTTTTACTGTTGATGAAAAAAGTTAGAGGCAAATGAATGTAAATTAATGTATGAAATGAATGCAAATGATTTTCCATGCCTGCGCACCATACGGTGTTTCTAGGAAAATTCAACACTTTAGCCAGCTTGGACGCGGACTGCGATTGACTTTCCAGGTTACTGTGCACGATTTTTTCTACGCTCCTTTGCATGATGATTGTCTCCAAAACAAGAGCTTCCAAAAACCTCCACTAGGAGCGCTTTAATAAGCAAAAGAGTTTGTTCTATTACCCATGGGCCGTGGTAGATTGATAGTGATTTTTAAGTGTCTTATTCTTCCTGGAACCATGAACTTGAATAAAAAAGCAATGTAATAAAATTGTATCCTACTTTTTTATCTCTTTAGAATCTCAATCAAAATTACAATCGAAAGCATAAAAAAATATAAAAAAAAACTGCCAGGATTCACAAACAAATAAAACCGATAAATGGTAAACAATTTGTCGAAGGCTTGGCAAAATTTGAAGATGTTCGCCGAAGTGTGTAGAAATGTTTGTTGACTTTTCTTCGCTTATATTGCTCGTAAAAATTAAACCAGAATTGATTGACAAAATGGTTAATTTAATATAATTTAATAATTGACAAAAAGTGTCTGTCATTCATAAAGAAAAGTTTCATCACTGGCCACAATAGAGGAGGGGAGGGGGTTACGCATCCCCTCTTGCTCCCGGCTAGAGCCCCAATCATACCACCTCGGCCAGGCAAGTCCAAACTAAACCGATAACAGTATATAGTTGATCAGTCGTCAGCAAAGTGTGCTGAAATCTATCTATTCACCGTTTTACAAAATGTTGATCAAAATTTCCAGGAGTACGGGAAATTTGGTTATACACTGTTCATATGAATCTTTCTGATTTCCTTGAAACATTGCATAATTGTTCGCTAGGATAAATTGATATCCGAGACAAGGTTGAGAGATTTGCACAGCATTACATTTTACTAAAATCTCAGCAAACATGACCTTTGTTTGCTGAGATTCAGCAAAACATTTTCCGAGACTCAGCAGCCATATTTCACTTTTGCTGAGATCTTGGCAAAATATGTTTGCCGAGAACTCGGTTGTGTAAATCTCGGCAAAAAATGTCGAGATTCAGCACATAAAATTCCAAACATGGGATTTCGACCGGGCGTTTCTTGAAGTATGATCGGATAAATAATAGCTTTAACACGAGAACTTTTATTTCAAACGGCAGAAAAGTTCACAGTAACAACATGCTCAGTGCCATCCCTATAGTGGTGCGGATTCCCGTCATTTTTTGTTCCTCTCGTTATTACAGCACGTGAGAAAACGGCTGTCTACATGATGGAAAGCAAAATGTTTCCTCTCTGAAGAGGCCCCCATAAAAGGAGCCTGAGTCTGTTAAAAGCTAAAAAAGTGACAAAGCACGAAGATATAAAAGAAAAAGAATCACTCAGCTGATAATCTGGGGGCCGACCAGTACGAAAAAAATAGTAGTCTATGTGCGTGTGTTCTAGTGTTCCTGTTTTCCTACCATCGGAAAGTGTTCCTCATCGTCGTCATCCTACCTAACTAAGCCTTCCCAGCAGATCGAGAAGAGAATAACAAAAAAAAAAAAACGAATCAAATTGGTGTTAACAATACAAGCAACGACGGCCGGCCGGAACGCGTGCGTAGGAGTAGCAGCAGAACAGGAAGAACGAAAAATAACGCACCATCTCGGCGATGGCAGAAACCAACCCGACTGGCACCAATCTGCCGACCTCCAGCATACTGCTGCCGGATGATGTGCTCGAGAAGCTCTATCAGAGCTATGCACTCAAGCAGAAACGTGTCGCTTTCGGGTGCTATCTGGCGGCCTCTATCCTGTTTGATTTGTGGGCCATCCTGGTGCCGCAAGGTCAGGGCTGGGAGGCCATAGGTAAGTCTACTGTACCACCGACTTAATTAGGCAGACTACAGAACTTTTCTGAGATCAGATTTATGTGTCCGAAAAGTTTCGATTTTCATGCTGATTGAATCATTATAAGCCCATTCATGCGGAGTAGTCACAACCACGTTTTCCACATCCAGTTCTTAGAGCCGGGAAAATCCATATTTTTTGTTTGCAGAAACTTTTGGTGCGAAACTTTTCCCCATTCCCAAATTCAATGCTTCTTATTTTATTCCAATTCTCTCAAAGACAAAGTTTTCGTCTGGTGCGTGTGGTTTGAAAAGACATTTTAACGAGTATCAAGCCTAATCCAAAGCCAAATTCGAATGACTTTGAGATAAACCGCTAGACCAATAACTTCTTGATAGATGCATGCCTGAGTGGCACCCTGGGCGTTGTTAATCGATGACCGACGATAATTTCAGATTATCGAATAACAACCCTGATTGCGATCCAATTTAAGAAGTTCTATAATCTCGCGACCCACCAATATTTTATGGTCAAAATGGACCCAAATCAATGGGAAAATGGACATAAATATGACCTTGGAATCCTAAAAAAAAGGCCTAGATCCGCCAAAATATCATTATAAGCCAGACAATGTCCTTGAAAACATAAAAAAATGGGCCTAAATACGCTAAAAAGGACCGAAATCGTTAATGTGTCCAAATTATTGTAAATATTACATACACGCTAAGAAAAATTCATGTAAATTTAGGTGCTCAGAGACTGACATATACGAGTATCAATTTTGACATAAAGTTCAGTCATTACAGACGTGACATTTTTCAGTCTCGGAGCACTTAATAAACATGACATGTGTGTTTACGTCTCATCCTTTATGTATAGATGGATTCCATCGGGCGTATTATTAGTTATTTATTAGTGAGAATTCGCTTTGAAACCAGGCCGCCATTGACACATAGTCTTTAAATATTTAAATATATTCGCTTGATTGGTTGAAACTGTTGAAAACATTAGGTTGCCACTTTCCTCAGCTCAAATTAATGGACCCCTCACTTGCCAAGGGACCTTACATTTTTCAAAAAAAGTTGAATTTATAGCAATTTTTGACATATTTATCATGTTATATAATTGAAATTTCTTCTTTGAAATACCGCATAATAATCTACATAATGACTCGATCGCATACACGGTACTCACCATGTATGACTGTATCAACGTTGACAATTGTGTAATTTCACTGAATCTCCCTAAGCTGCCGGTTTTCCAATCAGCTCTCGTCTCACTCCGTCTGTCGGCCAGCCGGTTGGTTCCATTATCCGCATTCATCTCTTATAGCCATTCAATTTTGCCTGCCCGTATATTTTCTCATTCACCGACTTTCCATTTTTTTTTTTTTCGTTTTCGTCACCATTCACAGCGATACTGAGCGTGTTCCTCGGGCTGAACATCATCCTGGCGGTGGTGCTGCGTTTCGGCGGTAAAGGCCGCTTCCGAGGATTCATCTGGGAAGTGGCACCACACGCAGCCTGGCTGCTGGCAATCATGCAACTCTTCCTGCAGCTGTTCCTGAAAGGATCCGTTACTCCGAGGTAAGTGCACAAGGGGTTTGGTTTCTGAGATGTTGGACTTTGGAGTTTCTGATGCTGATCAATAGGTTTGTCAAATGGAGTAGAGTACATTTGTACAGTTATGACTCAGATTCTTCCTGAAAATCTGAATGATATAACCTTTGAATTAGTTGTTTTACCTACGACGAGTGATCCAGTTCCTTCTGTAGCATCATAGAATCAGTAAAAACACATACAACTTTGAAAGGAATCGGAGACTCAACGGTATTGTTTTTATCTAAAAACGAAGATATATGTTTTCCTTCCAGTCGAATAGTTATGGACTGAAGGAATTGGACCAAGACATATTGGTTCCGAAAGCTTCGTACCGATTGCGTGAATCTATAGATACAGAAACTGGAGAAGGATGCGCACGGAATCGGTAAATAGATGGGGCCGGGATTCTAGTAAATGGCAATCGTAAACAGGAAAAGCTTAATAGCTACTTCGATGGCAACGAAAATAGGAAAATAAATACATTGTTGCTTATAATGCGATGCGATGGAGGAAATCCAAGGAAATCAGCGATGATTATGTTGGAGAAGGCAGTGGAAGATTTATTATGTAGAATTGGTTTGTTTTGGTGTCTAATAGATCGCCATTTAGATTAGTTTCATCGGTTTGGGTTGTGTCTTAAATTAAAGAGTATTAGTGTTTTGTGGAAATAAATTTCTGAAGAAATTTTTCGAATGTGAGGATTAACTTGTTAAAAACTCAAATTGATTACATCCTTCAATATACCGTCAATTGCCAGTAAAGTCTCATGCAATTTACCTCGAAACGGGTTGCATTTCAGGTCCACTAGGTTTGCCTCAAGCAACATCCCAGTGGTTGGCAATTTGCTCCATTTCATCGCTTTTGTAAACGCGTGGTTTTCAATGGAACGGGCGTTTGGCGTTGTTGTTCTATTTCCCGCTCATACTAGGTGGTTTCCATTACACAACAAGGTTGAACATTCTCGAATGCTGTCGTAGCAGGTAACCATAACCGAACCGAGACATGCTTTGTATGGCATTGTTCAAATATATGTGCTCTGTGGATGGTTTTGTGAACATGCAACTATTCCGTGAACCGATATAGCGCTCGTTCAATCGTATGGGTATGAATCGGCCCAGGATTGTTACAATAGGTCATTCAAAACTTGCTGGAATTTAATTGAACAAGTGCAACCAGTCAGGAATGGTATTGAGTTGAACGAACATAGTCAGAGATTGCGTCATCATGCGCTGGTTAGAACACTTCGTCAACTCATCTACCGAGTTCCATTACCATTTGGTGCTTTTTATAAATAAAACATACCTATTCCACATTGCCCTATTTAAATCTCTTTTATTCATATTTATAGCATTCATTATCTTTAATAGCTAATTTCGGACCACTTATTCATACCGGCAATTATCTCTTGTGGATAACCGTCTGGGGATGAAAATCACAGGAAAGCCGCCCCAAAAGCGAGAAGCCTTGCATTTTAATTAACCTACTAAAACCGTCTTAAATACCTGCCGAAAGGTATAAACAGGAAACATTCCGTCAATTATCTGTGCCATGACCTGAGCCAAAAGGTCCGTCCGGACAGATTTCAGCATTGTATTCATCTCTTTTGTCGTAATTAAATTCTACTTTCGAATGGGATGATTCTCCTCCATCGTTGACTCACAAAACAGAGGATTAAACGATTAACATATTAAAATATGGTTGTAACTAGTGGAGATATTTATTTTACGCTTCACACGCTCGTTCATACCAAAACAATTTGGCTTCGGTGGAAAGCGGAGCAAATCTTACGATCCGCCGGCATCTCATTCAATTTTCAGAAGGCGCAAAAACTTCATCCCCTTTAGATATCGCACTGGTATACCGATAGACATTTGTGTTAACCCTTAGCACCCACCGAACCGAATAAAAGCGATTCGCCAATTTACTCTTTCCTTCTACAAAACTGGTCCTTACGAGTGTAGTAAAGATATGGGTATTAGGGTGGGTGAGGTTTGTATGGGGGACACAAACTCCTGCTCCCCACTACTATTTCGATCTGTATTGGGGCCCCCAGCAATTGTGTCAAATTGTGTCGAATTTGGCTACGATCTGGATTTGCTGAATAAATAAGTTTGTATCGAAAAATGTATGGGAAATAGAGCCAAACAATTTAGTTGCTTGTCCAACATTCAAAAACTTTTCAATTTTGACTTAGAGCCTTAGATTAGAAAACCTATACAGAACAATTTGGTTGAAATTTACAAATCGATTCGATTTCGGTGCAAAAGTTATTTGGCCTCCCAAGTAATATAAACCTCTATAAAACCATGATAAAACCAAAAATATTACTTGGGCTAGAGGTTTCCGCATACCTATACATAGTACTTGGCCTAAAATTTAAAGTTAATATCTTAATGGACAGAAGTCGAATCAATCACGTTATTCTACATAGTTTTTCCAATCAAAATCTAAAAATTGAGCAATTTTAGAATTTTTGACATGCAAATGAAAATCTTCAATCGGTTTCCCATACAAACTTTAAAGTTCTCCCGCAAATCCAGATCGTAACTAAATTCGTTCAAATTTGGCGCAGCTGTTGCGAACCTCAATACAGTTCGAAAGAGTATTAGGGAATTGTAGGGAGCTGTAAAGTTGACTCACCCTACTGGGTATATCTATTTTTATCCGATGTTATCCGTTTCTTTCTGATTACAGCCCCGATGTTCCATTTACTTTATTCTTGCTTGTCGCTCACACGGTTGTCCATAATTTATTTTCATTTTCAGAGATTCCCTCGGATGGGCTGTGGTCCTTAATTTTTTAGTATACGTTACCTTGCCGGTGCTGCTAAAGTATACCGGCATCCTGCTGGGACTGGGGTCATTCGCAACCTATATCAATGCCATCATTGGGCTGGCCAAAAAGGAAAACTATTTTTGGGAACAGGTAAGAGTGATGAAGTTTTGTTTGCAACTGTCTTCCTCCGCTTCTCATCCATCTCCTGCTTCCTTGACATTGGATCTAGAATTAGATTTTACCAAATTGATGGGGCTTAACCCATCACCGTTTTCAAGGCACAGAACGAAACCGATAGCTTGGGGTCGCACCACTGGATGTCAAAGTGGAATCAATTTAAAACCATGTCTGGATTAATTATAGTATTTTACTTGTCTCGTCCCTTTCCTTTCGACAGCAAGTTGCAAACGTTCTCCTGCTGGTGGCAGCAACGGCCATCGGTTTGCTGAACTACTTTCTGGCTGAAGCCAAACAACGAAGAGCTTTTCTCGAAGCAAAACAAGGCCTAGAGGTGAAGATGCTGATCGAGGAACAGTCAGCCGAGCAGGTAGGTTTCAAATCAATTCCATGTAAAATTCATAATCCTAGGCTAGAATTGATTGCTTTTATACAATTTTAATAACAGAAACCGGACGTATTTATCACTTATCTATTCTACTCAGGAGCAGTCTAAATTTAATGTTCTTCTGCAACAGGACGTTCTCACTTTTTCGAGCAGTTTACTCGAAATTGTTCATTGTGCATAGAATATTTAGATCCATATCTGGAGCACTGGTTTGGAAACAACCACTTTCCTTTCAGCGGCGTCGGTGGTGTAGTGATAAGCGTGATTACCTCTCACCCCAGCAGGCCTGGCTTCAATCCCGCCGGGATGTTCTGAGGCATAACATCTTTGATGAGGCCTTCCTTCGGAAGGGAAGTAAAGCCGTTGGTCCCCGGTTCATGAGTTGATGGCTCGATAATTAGGGTCCAGGTGTGGGAGCTGCCTCCCTGGCGTTGGTAGCATTGGTGCTCATCACGGATAACAAGATCTACGGAAAACAAATCAAGGAAAAAAAACACTTTCCTCTTGTGTCACATAGATAAATTTTCAAACTTTCTCGGCACTGATAGTTGCCATCATTTTCAATGCAGCAGCCCATAAATAATCAGAATTGATTCCTCCCGTATGCCAATAAATACATTCCATGTCGGAGGCGCCGGGTTTGATTGCCAGATCCTGTTAAGTAATTTTTCGGTAAAATGTTGTAGTCACTAACGTGTGCAAAAGGAGTGGTAAAAAACTCCTAAATTGGCTCCATAATTTTTTTCTCATTTGAGAGCTATCGTTGTATGCCATTAGGACGCATTAAATGGAAACACGCGACTTTTAGTGATCTAAAAGTAATGTACAGTGAGTTTACCCCCTGCCCTATGCTGAGCGCTCTAATAAGAGACTGTATATAAGAAATGGGTCACAATCGGTGCCGCACTGGCATCAGGTAGACTGGTACTCTTTGCTGATACTGTCTGAGCCAATACATGTCATGCGTTTATTGCTTCGCTTGGGGAAGCATCCGATGTACCGCTTGAGTAAGTGAGGGCACAGTGGAGCTTAGCTGCTAGCTACCGGACGGGTCGCAGTTTGCCGTTAACGAATGGCCATTGGTTATTGCGAATATAAAATAAGAAATCACGGACAAGTAGTAGGAGCTGTCTATGGATGTGACAGGACTTCCATGCCCGTCAACAAACCCGTAATCGCCTTTTTGGCATTACACTCAATAATGTTACGCGATTTTTACGCTTCTATTTTTGATTGTGTGATCTCAAATTGCTCCCAAATTTAAAGCAATTTTATTTCAGAAATTAAAAAAAATTGATTAAAAAATATGGTGGTACAGGTCGGACTCGATCATCTGGGGGTTCAATTATCCGAGGGTTCAATTATTCGAGGGTTCGATTATCCGGAACCATATTTTGTTCTGTTGTATTGGATTTGAGTAAGTAAAAACAAGAAGGAACAACCATTTATGCATTTTAGTTATTTTGAAGTGATATGCAAAGGTAAGATGACGAAACCATCCTGAGATAACCATATCATTCTATCCTGAGCTGGTCCCTCAACCATACCAGGTGACTCAGTGCATAGCTGAAAATTTGATTTGAATTGTTGCATAGTTGAAGATTTTTAGAATTAAACTTGATCAACCAGAGGCTTGTACAAAAAAAAAACTCTGATCACCTGATGGTATTTGAAATATTTTTGGAGCCACCTTTCATCACGAGAAAATAATATCAGAGCGATGTGATTTGAAATGATGATGAGTTTGAGATCTACAGTATAGTATAGTAGTACCTGAGCAACCTTAAGACGACTTTATGGAGATCTTAAAACACATCAAGGACTTTGGAATAATTTCTAAGCTGCTGAAATGAGATAAAATCTGAGAGATGCTATAGCGATTATGGAATACTTGGATATCTTTAGAGTGATACCAGATCAATCTGAAAGCTTGAAAAAACATCCTGTTTTTAAGTTGACCTCTTATCACTTGGTGTTTTTTAAATAATTTCCTACCAACCTAGAATCTTTAAGTAAATCTTGGTGGTTTGAATTGTAGGGCAGCTGAAGATCTTCAGAATAATACCTAATCAAACTGCAGTCATGAACAAATATTGAAGGACTTTTGAAGATGTCTGATCACTTGAAGGTTTTGGGAATAATTTCACCAGCAACCTGCTATTTGAGAGAATATCTGAGAGATGTGATATGAAATGTTGGGCAGATGAAGATTTTCAAAATCATATAAGATCAAGCTGAAGTCTTGAACAAATATCCTGAGACAATGACAGATAAAGATCTACAGAATGATACCTGATCAAGCTAGTCGAAGACAAATGTCATGAATATTTTTTGTGTTTTGTTTCTATTTCCAATACAAGCTTTAGAGCTCTCCAGAAATTTTGACCAGGTAATGATTGATAATAGTAATAATTCAGAGACAAGAAATTCACTTTATGGCTTTGGCATGTAACAGATGTGATCCAATGTGTGAAGTGTACGATTCGCTGCTGTTGTGTAACTTATATAATTAATTAGACGAAACACTTACGTTACGTACGGCAAACATACTTTTGAATATAAAAACCAATAATTGATCCATAAAATATTGGAAAACGTTCCATAAAAAAACATCAAATGATCCATAAAAAATCGGAGAAAATTCTTCAAAAAGTGTGAATGATCCATAAAAAAATATCAATATGATCCATATTTTATGTAAAATTTAGCTTCACAATTGTACAAATGTACCGCTAAATTTCTTAAGAATGAGCATTGAAATTGTACGAATTACCCATAAACATGTTGCAATTGATCCCTATTGAAAATCAAGTTTGCGCACTTAAAAATATAGCCATGTTCGGATTAAGCTAATATAAAGTCGAAACCAATCATAATGCTTATAATAAAACCTATTTCAGCTTCAAGCTGTCCAAAACGAGACTGCTCTGAGGAAGTTGCTTTCATTAATCCATTCTACATTCTTGAAGAACAACATCGGATATGTATAATCTCAAAATGTCAGAAGGATCAACACCACCGTTGAGTGAAGAACAGAGCAGCGATCGAAACTGTACGCTTTATGAAGGCCATGACCACGCAGATGATATGGTCCAGTGTGATCTCTGCGATTTCTGGACCTGGTAAGACAACAGCTGTAAATGAGGTTCCGTAGACGTGCTCGAAGTGCACAAATATGCTAAAGGTGCCGAATAGAACCAAGAAGTCTGTCCCAAAGAAACCACCTAGCAGAAAGAATAGTGCGAGGAGTGATGCCGGATCCGAATCTGGAAAAGGAAGTACCAATGAGGTCAAACTGGAGGAATCCCTAGACCAGTTGCAACAGGAGAAAAGCGCAAAGGAGAAAGCGCTGGAGGAAGAGAAATTCCTCAATGAAAAGCGATAGGAGGCTGCGCGGGAGTTTTTTTTTTTCAAACTGAGAGTTATCTTCCGTCACTTTCAACAAAGATTTGGCTAGATTTAGGATTCAATTATTATTTTAGTTAAGAACGCAAACGATGTAGAATGAGCTACTTACTACTTACTTAGGGTAAATCAAGTATATAGCGTTTAGAATCAAATTGTAGTATCTAGATTAAGCAAATATAGAACTGTGAATTCACAGTTCCGTTGAACCAAACCTGACGTCTGTCATTTCTGACAGTGACCGTTACCGTAGCTCTCCAAATCTCCCACTGTGTTGTCGCTGGGCTTAGCGGTACAGGGTTATTCCGATATTCCAAATAGCCATGATGCATAAATTTCACGTTTTGGACACTATATTATTAATTTTGATCCATAAACCATGAAAAATTGCTGTATTACTGCGTTACTACTTTGATTTGTCGTGTTTTTTTAGGCAGAGGTCAATCGTCTATAATTAGCTTCCAAAAGAAGCTGCTATAATAATCTTCTTAAGAAAATATGAAAAATAAATGTTAAATTTAAGGATCATACCTAGGAAAAGTGTTCCAGTTATTGGTAGACGCTCTTATTATGGTGTGTTCCAATTATAGTCGATGGGATATACATATGTTTTTCATGTTTTGGACCCTTTTTTTATTTGAAAATTGCTACATTACTGCGTAGCTACTCAGGTTTACTGTTCTTCCCCTTTTTGTTGTTGTCCGAAGAGTGGAACGATGGGCGAGCGTCTAGAATAAGCTTCTTAAAGAAGTTTCTAAATAAAACTTCCATAGGATGCTTCTTACGAATATAATTATAGAATCTTCTTTTGGAAGCTAGACCCTTGCCCGTCGCATTGCACATCTACCTAAAATACACGGGCAGGATAGTGAATCTAAGTAGATAATCAGTGGAGCAATTTTTTAAGGTTTATAGATCAACATTTAAAAAATAATGTCCTAAACATTAATTCTTATTTATAAATCATGTCTATATTTTTAAGTGCGCAAACTTGATTTTTTATGAATCACTTTCTTTAGTTTAAGGTTCATTGCTGAATGTATTATGGACGCAATATGTTTATGGGTAATTCGTACAATTTCAATGCTCATTATTTAGAAATTTAGCAGTACATTTTTACAATTGTGTTACTAAATTTCACATAAAATATTGATAATATTGATATTTTTTATGGATCATCCACACTTTTTAAGGGATTTTCTCTGATGTTTTATGGATCATTTGGATGTTTTTAATGGAATGTTTTTCATTATTTTATGGATTGTTTTAACAATTCTAAAGGTGCATACTTGGGGCCGCCGTTACGTACCTATAGGGGAAGTACACCAGTTATGGCAATACCTAAAATTTGCTCCAGTTTTGGCATATGCCAGTGATATGTGATTTAAATTAGTAGGGCCAATAGCTGGTAACAATGGGTATCTGGGATTATGCATACGCCATTATTGGATCGCTTACCCTAGTTTTCAAACACAAATCTAAATATATAACAAATATATATAAAAATTAATGTCTGTCTATCTGTCTGTCTGTCTGTCTTATAGACTCGGAAACTACTGAACCGATAGGCGTGAAAATTTATATGCAGGGTTTTTTGGGGCAGGGAAAGGTTTTTTTGATGGTTCGAGACCCCTCTCTTCTTTGTAAAGGAGGCTCCCATACAAGTGAAACAGAAATTTCTGCATAACTCGAGAACTAATCAAACAAATGGAACCAAATTTGACATAAAGAGGTCATATGAGGCAGCCCCTTAGATAAGCATGTTTTTTTTTTCAATTGGCGCATAAACTCAAGCTTATATTGAATCCCGAGCAAGGCCGGGCACACTCAGTTAGTAAGCGATACAAGTTTCGTTCAAACTTATAACGACATTATAAATGTTCTGGAGGCCTTGCACAGCGCCATTCCGTTCTCATTTGCTCAGCTTCAATTCGCGGAAGTGGATGCAGACTAAGCTAAATTGCATGTCCATCATTGCTTTTGATTTAAACTCCCTCCTCCAAAGAAAGCTGATTCAACTCCGGTTTATTTCACTTCCATTAACGTTACTATGATAATCCATCACACGCTGCGATTACTCTCCGCTACCACCGGAAAATTGATTCATCAAACAAGACTAAATTACCGCACCACCCATATCCAGCCAAACCAACCCGGTCGCACAATTATATCCATTCATTTTTGTCTACTTGCTTCTTTTCTTCTCTCATCCTTTCCAGGAACGCCTGCTGCTGTCGGTGCTGCCCGAGCACGTCGCGGTAAAAATGCGACAAGATCTAGGATCAACAAACTCGGAGCAATTCAAGAAAATCTACATGAGTCGCCACGAAAACGTAAGGTAAGCTTAATAAACCGAAGCTCAAATCGAAAGTAAAAAAAAATACGTGAAAATAATGGATATAGCTCTCCAGCAAGCAAAGACGCTCAACGACGACGGGTCGAACTCTTATCGTATTTGAAGAATCTTTCGGCATACCGCCGGGAATCCGAGAGATGGGGAGGTGAGGTGGGTAAATTTGTTTTCACAGGTATTATCAGCCCGTTTGCTGTGCTGCCCACAGGTGTGGTAGTCATTTTCACTGGATTTAGGAAATTCTCCGAATATAGATGGAGTTTCGCTTTTTGACAGTGAACGATCATTTTCCATCGAATAAATGAATGAGAAATCACAACCTGGAGCGTGTGATGTGAACTTATAAATGGATTTGCCATTCGGGGAATTGTCGCTACAAGGTTAAATCTTTCTTTACTCTGTCTATCACATGACCTTTATTTCGCGAAGTCAATGAGCACAATCGTTTGCTAAATGATGGCAAAGTTCAAAAATCACGTTCCTGTTGATTGTCAAAGGTCACAAACAAACTTGTTGCTTATAGTACGTTCCGACAGAGTTATAAGGTGTTATAGCGCTATCTTGATGGTGGTTTCTGTGTTGCGATTCAGTCTGGCCAGCACTTTAGCGTTTGTGTCATGTTGGAACAGGACAGCATCCGGTTAGTTGCAGATCATTTGATTCAAAAACATCAAAGTCACGACGTTTCGTAATTTTTTTTAATTTTAAGACGGCAGTCTTCAACCTTTGCGGGGACAAACTGAAATGCTACAAATTGTTTGAATTGTTTACCGAATTAGAGCGCCACGATCGGAACCAAAGTTCTGGTTGTACTTGTCACGAATCTCTCGTGATGTCACCACCGGTCAAGTACGAGATCTTGCAATGAACGCCTAGCTACAGAAGATGTCGAGGTCGTCCGTCTGGTGGCAAAAGGAAAGGATGTAAATACCATGACGTTCATTTCCTTCAAAATCGGATTTAACCCGGACCTCAAGTCAAGAGCCCTCTCAACATCAACCTGGCCCAAGGGTGTCTCCTATTCCGCGAATTTAAGGACAACACCAAAGTAAATTTTTGGAAGCCTGAATGTACGCCAAAAGCCCCTCCTTCATCGGACGTCGATTCCCCCAGTGGACCAGATCCGGAAGAAACCGCCGTTGACTTTATGGAAGCTCCTGAACCCCCCACCACCTGTACGACACAGCAATCGTCTCGCCAAGTTCAAGCGGCAGTCCGTAGGAACGATAAACAAGTGTCATCTGATGTCTTGCTGTATTATCAAAACCTGGGTGGAATCACCCTGGCAGAGTACCAGCTTGCATGCAGTGATGCCTGCTACGATATCTACGCTTTTACCGAAACTTGGCTCAATGGCAATACATTATCATGTCAGTTGTTCGACCGTACATACACCGTTTTCCGCCAAGACCGGTCGCCATCCAACAGCAGTAAAAACACTGTCGGTGGTGTTCTTTTAGCCGTTCGTTCCTGCTACAACCCACGATTACTATCACCTCCTGAAAATTCGTCTGTTGAACAATTGTGGGTCTCAATTACTTCTCGTGACTCTACCCTTTACATATGCGTGGTGTACATTCCTCCGGATCGTGTAAACGACGGCACTCTCATCGAAAAGCACCTGCTGTCACTCGATTGGATTGTTTCGAACATGGGCGCCAATGACAACTTAATCATCCTGGGAGACTTAAACCGACGCGACGTCTGTTGGAAGCGCAATGCTCGTGGATTTCACTTTCCTTGTGCATCCTGTTCGTCGATTGGTCAAGCATCATGTAATTTGCTGGATGCCTATTGCACTGCAAGACTCGGACAGATGAATGGAATTCCAAACCATAACAACCGCATGCTCGATTTCTGTTTCGTAAGTGATGAGATGTGCACTGATTGTTCCATCATATCAGCCCCCTCCGCGCTTGAACTGTAGACATCATCCTCCTCTGCTGGTGAGCATAAAGCTCAACGTTCATCGTAATTTCAAATACACTGTGGAGAGCGTCTTCTATAGCTTTGACGAAGCCAACTTCAGCGAAATGAATGATTTTCTCTCAAATGTCGACTGGGAAGAGGCACTGCGTGACTGTGATTCTAACCTCACGGCATCGACGACATCCAACATTCTTTTGTACGCAATCGATCAATTCGTACCTAAGCGAATTAGTCGCGAACCTGTTAAACCTGCCTGGTCGAATTCAGAGCTTAAGCGATTGAAAAAATTTAAAAGGGCTGCTCTTCGTAAGCACAGCAAATACCAAACCGATTCCACGAAAGCATGTTATTCTAAAGCGAACACGGATTACAAGCGACTCAACAACCAACTGTACCATGCAGCTTCAGCGTCGTCTGAAATCAAATCCTAAGAACTTTTGGCGTCATGTGAATGCCCAAAGAAAGGAAAGTGGACTACCCTCAAGTATCATAAGACGGCGTAGTGAAAGTGGACTCCATCGTGGGTATTGCCGACTTGTTTCGCACACAATTCAGCAGTGTTTTCAACGACGAACGACTCAGCACTCAGAATGTAATTGCTGCGTCTAGTAACGTCTCTCCCTCAACCTTCTCCAGCCATCCGTTTTCTATCACCAGCGAAATGATTATTTCATCCGGGAAGCAGCTAAAAACTTCAACGGGTTCAGGTCCAGATGGCGTACCGTCGTTAGTCCTCAAACGCTGCCTGACTGCTCTCGCAATACCTCTAGCCAACGTTTTCAATCTCTCCTTGATATCTGGGGTTTTCCTAGCTTGCTGGAAAGAGTCTTTTGTGTTCCCAATCCACAAGAAAAGCTGCAAAAGGACTGTTTCAAACTACCGTAGAATAGCTTCGTTAAGTGCTACCTCCAATCTTTTTGAGTTGATTATACTCGAAAAATTGGTTCAAAGTTTTGCACACTGTATTTCGACGGATCAGCATGGCTTCATGCCTAAGCGTTCCAAGACGACCAATTTAGTTACGTTCACTTCGTTCATCATTCATGAAGTAAAACGTGGCCATCAAGTAGATGTCATCTACACAGACCTCTCCGCAGCGTTTGACAAAATGAACCATGACATTGCGTTGGCTAAATACGACAGGATAGGTGTTCACGATGGTCTGCTTACTTGGCTTTACTCCTACCTGACTGGTCGAAACATGTCTGTCAAGATTGGTGACTATTAGCGAATTTGTTTATTATCGGGGTTAACACCAGTTCCAACCCAGTGCGAAACCGAACTTTTTGTCAGTGTGAACCTCAACCTGAGCTAGGTTTTAAAAACAAACGAGCAATCTGACGTTTGTCAGAAAACAAGCAGACCCAATCTTGATACCCGATCCAGGTTGGAACTGAATAATAAACGAATTCGCTATATGTTTCTTCATCCTTCCCCGCGACATCCGGCGTTCCCCAAGGTAGCTATCTTGGGCCATTTCTGTTTCTGTTGTACATGAATGACGTCCATACCATCCTGAAATGCCTTAAACTATCGTATGCCCGAGCAAAGTAAAATAATAACCTAATATCATCTTGAAAACAAGTCTTGTTATTCCAGAGATCATTTTGTTTTCAGTTGTTATCACGTAACTAATTTAGTCATCAACATCGACTAATTTTGTTATCAGTTGTTATCCTGAAATAATATGAAATGATGCAAGGCTACTTTAAAACTTCAAATATTATTAGCACGGTAAGAAAAAACACACTGTCAAGCATGTTATATGTTATCTCCGTAAGGCTTTAATACCAATACCAATAATTTGAAATTTGTTGAAAATATTTGCATGGATCACAGGATGTGCTATCAAGATGTTTTCAATGATAACTAAATCAGTTATTTTTGTGATATCCACGGAGTATTTTTTTGCTATAATTTGTGTTATGTTGGCTGCTTACTCAACCACAATGATAAAATTTTCAGTTATCAAATCTTAATAACCAGGTATCAGAACTTGTTATCAATTTGGTATAATCCTTTGCTCGAGGACTTGACACTCTACTTCGTGATAAAAGAACCTAGTGATGCCGTTTTCTTGCAGCAACAATTGGAAGTCTTTGCTGAGTGGTGTCGTATTAATCGCATGTCACTGAATGTCTCGAAATGCTCTGTAATTTCCTTTGGCCGCAAGCGTTCGCTTCTTCACCATGACTACACCCTGACGGGCATAACTTTGAAACGTGAATCGACTAGCAAGGATCTGGGAATACTGATCGACTCCAAGCTCAGCTTCAAGGATCATGTGGCATACGTAGTATCCAAAGCTTCATCACAACTCGGGTTCATATTCCACTTCGCAAAAAAAAAAAAAAATCAAAAATGTATACTGCCTAAAAGCATTATGCTGTTCGTTGGTGCGACCTATTTTGGAGTATTCACGGTCGTGTGGTCTCCATACTACCAAAATGAAACCATGCGTATTGATGCTATTCAATGGAAGTTCATCCGGTATGCTTTAAGGCATTTTCGCTGGAATGGCCCTAGAAATCTGCCTAGCTATGAAAGCCGTTGTATGCTTATCAACTTAAAGCTTTTGGATACGAGACCTAACGTAGAAATGGCGAGCTTCGTCGGTGATCTTCTTCAGGGAAACATTGACTGTTCTACACTGCTGAGTAGTATCGACATCAATACCCGCCGCCGTAATCTACGGTCGTATGCTTTCCTGAACAACCGCCTCTCACAATCCAACTACGGATGGAATGAGCCCATACGGAGGATGTGTCGCATCTATTACGGATGCTACAATGTATTTGACTTCAATGTTTCCCGTTTTAGAAATAAGTGCAATTTCAAGAGTATTTTATGTTAATTTGTCTAGAATAAGTAAACTGTCATTGGGGTGAATATTTTACCTGTTGATCATAAAGGGTGATACGGTCAAAATTTGGTCAATATCAACTTGATGTATTTCTTTCAATTTTGCATTTAAAAAACCTGAACACCCCTCATTTTGAAGGTGTGTGTGTGTGTGTAGAATGTTGCTCCTATTTTGATTTTGGAATTCACTCTTC